AGAGAGAAGCACGGGGGTGATATTCCGTGACTCGGATCGACGCGGCGGAATCTCTCGATGGAAAGGCTTGCGCGTTACGTGCGGCGACGATTTGTTAGAGAAGAGAGACAAATCAATAGATCAAGACAGAGAGATAGAGAAAGAGAGAACAATGCGGAGAACGCAGTCAGTCGCTCTCGTTGTGTAATAACGCGTACCTGAAGGAATTGACATCGGTCGCCCTAGAGTGCGGCGAGTTACAATTAACGGTCGCGACGCGTCGTCGCCCGCAGGAAGCGATCGCGACGTCGAAGCGAGATGGACAGGGAGAGAAATTAAGAGTGACGGGTAAGGAAGGAAGAAGGTTAGTTCCGTCGCTTCGCGTCCCGTGACGACGGGATCGATCGATCGAACGAATGCCGTTGATCGGGGCCGCGAGGACGAACGGCGAAAGACGAGGAAACCAAAAGCTCCGGTCTCAACAATACGCGATACAAGAGTGGCCCGCTACCGGCTCCGTTCCTAAACCGTGACGACGACGACGACGACGATGAAATTCGCTCCCGAGTCTCTAACGTTCGCGCTTAAAGTCTACGACGACACACATTTAGTTGATTACTCGTATATTTAAGAATTAGTACGATTAGCGGCCTTAGTTAAGTGTGTGTTTTTTTTCTCAGCCTCGCTCGCCTCGTGTCTTTATTTTACGTGCGCGACTCATAGTGTGGTTTCCTTGTGGATTGGCGCGCGCGTGTGTGTGTGTGTGTGTGTGCCCTGCGTGTATGTAGGTGAAAATGTATTTATTTCTTGTTAATTTCATTTTTTTACAAGTTACGCAAATAATTACGCAAAAAACATACCCTGTTTCCTAGTATCACCGACACCACGGCTACCGGATTGCGTCGCGGCGCGCGTGACTTGACTCCAATTTAGTTCTACGTCTAATTGGGGACTTGGTAACAACGCGGCGTAGCGGTGTCGTGAGGGTTGATAGGTTTTGGCTGTCCTTCGTGTGAGTGCGGTGGCGGGTGTGTCCGATGTTCGTTCACTTCTCTCGGAGAGAGAGCGTGGAGTTCTCGTCTTCCATTATCGTGTGTCTTCTCGCGCGCGCGTACAAAGCAGCGAACGACGACTCGCGACATTCCCCGCTACACTTTGGCAAGAGAGTCGCTGTGGTAAATTAGGAAATAGCATGTAAACGCGAATCCGATCGCTCGTCGTACGTTCGCGGCGCGAGATCGACGGACGTTCGTGACGTCGCGCGCTGATCGATCGAATTCGCGACTCCCCGATCGCGGCATCATCATTCCGAGAGAGGCCGGACGCGATGAGGAGCAAGAAATACACGCGACCGGGATAGTAAATACTATGTCGATACAGATATTTTACGTATTTGTTTATGCTACTTACACGCAAGCGATCGCGATGTCGGAGAGATTGATAGAATAGGTAGATTCTCGTTTGTTTTATCTCATCACACGGCTGCCCTCTAATTGATTATTTCTCGCAATTAATATCTTATTGTACATTATAAGATGTATAATATTATATAATTGATATTTGTTACTCCTCATGCGCGCTTCTCGTCTCTCTTTCTCTCTCTCGCTCTCTGTACTCGGCTCGATCTGATTCACTCGCGAATAAAGAAGCCATGAGAATCCGTTTGCCGCGGGCGATCCGGGACATCGATCTTCTTTGGCAACCGGCCTCGACGATCTTTACCGTACGATATCGCGCGAGTCACGCGGATCGTAGGATCAGCGTTATCAGACGGCGACAACCTCGCGGATGCAAATGAATTTGTGCGGCTGATCAAACGCCCCATCGGATCGACACGAAGTCGCGAACTCGATTCTCGTGCGCGGTGCATTCTGCGGAGATTTCGCGAGCACGTCGCTTCCCAGAATTCGGAACATTAATTGCGAGCATCGAATTCGTCTCAGCATTACATTCACGTCATGTAAAAATAAATTCAAAGCTGATCCTCACAGATTACTATTATCATTATTATTTCTCCTTAAAGCTAAGAATATTTTTTTTTTCTCCTCCTTAAGTCTCATTTATTTCCATTAGCAAGATGCAGACTACTTCGGTTGTAGCAAAAACTTTGTTTGGATAAAATAGTTGTATTTTTTTGGTTTGTTTACAATCGTCGCGTTACCTTCGTCGTATTTATATATTTATATATTTATATTTTTTATAATATATATATCTATCGTTATCCATTAGGATATTTATTAGAGTAAGTTGTGTTCCTTGATATTTGCTATTAGTACTGTTAAACTTTAAAAAGCTTAGATCGTAGTGATATTATCAATTGGTGCTTGCATAGAAGCATCTTTCCAGTGTCTCTCTGTATGCGTGTATCGCCTTCTCAGATGTGTCGCTCGCGGTGACTCGCGTGTATTTTGGCATGTGTGTGACAGGGAGAGTCGCGCGCACGTGTGTCTATATACGTTTTCATGGTACGACTTTTTCTCGAGTTCCATCTTCGTAATCGCATCTCCTCTCTCTCTCTCTCTCTCTCTCTCCCTTTCTCTTTTTCCCTGCGATTTCTTTCAAGTGGACTCGCTCGAGTTCGTCTCTCGCTCGGAGGTAATCCCGTGCTCGTCTTCGGAAATTCGCGTGTGTCCCACGAGAGAGCGAAGAGCACGCGCGAATAATTCCACGGGAGAATCGAATTCCATCGCGATCTCGCGCATTCGTATCGAGGAGGCGTCCGATAGACAGACAGAACCGGATATCCTTCGGCGAATATCGAAAATCGATGCGCGACAAAGATGTACACGCCGGGCGTTTGCCACGCGACGCTGCGGAGATTTTCTTACGATTCCGTCGTCAGATGCGCGAGACGATGTAAACGCGATCCAGTTGAAAGAAAAGGCCCCGCCATTACATCCATGGTCGGCCGATTCGTCTAATCCATTCCGATCCATTCGTATTTGACGCACGTTACACGGAAATCGCGCGGATGCCACAGAGTCGTCCGTTCGCACCGAGGCGCCACGCTGATGAGCCACTCTCTTCGAGTTACATCCATCCTGAGCGAGCGATGCATCCTGCGAGTAATGCATCCTGCAAGCGTGTAAAGATAATTGAACCGGCACGCACGCCTGATCCATCCTGTCTAATCATGTTTACACGCGAATCGCGTGTGTGTTTGTATACATGTGGGTGAGTGTGTGCGCGCACATATGCGGCCTCCACGGAGAACGGCGATTGGCCGTCAGGATCGGATTGGAGGAGCCGGAATCACGAGAACGGAACGGGTACTTGCGCGAGTGCTACTTTGCCAGAACGACACGCATTATTATATCACATTTTTCATCCGGATCTAACTAAAATTTCAGTCTCAGTAATTTTTGTTATCTCGAAATCAATTTAAATATGTTATTTTTTTCTCTCTCATCTCACATCATCTCCGGTTTAAGTTCAACGTGTACGCGATGTACATTATAGAAATTGCATAGATTAACTTCAGCCTACGTGAAGGTATTTTTATAACGGAATACTTTATGTAACTCGAATATATAATATAGGATAATTTTTTTTTTTTCGTTATATCTTATTACATTAACTTTATCTTCTCCCTTTTCTTCTCCTTTTGCGAATGTTATCGAGGATTTCGAAGGAGAGACTTGATGAATAATGAAACCGTGGCTGCTCATTTTCGCTTTGTATATCCGTGCACGAGTCAGAGCGTACAACGTGGCAAAGATTTATCTACGATCTTGCTGATAATATCACGATGAACTTTCGCTCATCCTATAAATATCCGCGAGTCTCCTGTCGTTAAATCAACTATGCCCGACGTCGTTAATACAGCTCCCCCCTCCCCCTTCTCTCATATATGTATATTATATAAATTTAACCTTCTAAAAATGACAAGAATATATGCGTATGTTTACATTATCGTAGTGTATAAGTTATGTATATGTACCATAAATAATCGTTATCATTATTATCTCCTCATCTTTTGTCATTAACCATTATCTGGTTTATCGTTATATATTAATATTATATCGTCATTCGTCGGTAACTAGCAAATCCTTCTTCCAAGCGCTTCTTTCTTCGTCGTATAATTAGCCTCGTACGTACACGCGCGTGCACGCACGAATACGCACGCACACGTGCGTTAATTGCGCACGTAGCGCGCGCGAATGTGCGTATCGCCCGCGGCACGTTTCAACGAGCAACAAATTTGCGGAGTGGATTGTAAAATGAGAAGGTTTGCTCATCCAAAAACGTAGGTGTAATATGTATATATCTATATGTGTATATGTATATGTACGTATATTTATACAAATGCATATATGTATATATATATATATATATATATATA